TTAGTAGCAATACTAATCAAAAAATCTTCACAAGCACATTATTCCTGTTTAGAAAACCTGCACAAGCATATGAACAGATATCTCATATTTTGCTTGGGGAGTTGTCCTACTAAGAGGCAGTTTTTCACTATTCTGTGTAACACTGCGTTGAAGGTCTTTGGGTATAAAGCTTTCTGTATTTATGATTATTTCCTTAGTTTAGAGTGGTTCAAAGAGTCTCAAAGTTTTGTTAAGGATGTAGAATCTGTAGCCTTGCAATGATGAACCTTTCTTTGTATTTGTATATCAGTTAGGTTCTTTCAGTTCACCCAAATCTCCTTTCCAATAAGCTTACACCTGTGGCCAAGATAGTCAACGATGACGCTACATTCTATAAGAGGTATCAGAGCCACATGTAGTGGCACTCTATGGATGTCTATGACTATGGGGTTAGAAGTGAGGGCATAGACTTCAGCAATTTCAGTCTCCTTTCTGGATACTAAGGTTCTCCCTCCCTGCCCTTAGCAGTATCTCCCCAAGGACTGCTGTCAATTCCACTATTACAGAGTCCTTTCTTTGTCTTAATGTTTTACAACCTCTGAAGAGCAAATACTGCAGAGTCAAGTAAGACATTTCTTTAAAGATAGCACATTTACTGCTACATAAATGTTATATACATATTGTGTTTTCTGTGGGTAAGACATTTTCTTATGAATCATTTATGCTTTTTGGTTTTAATGAAACAACTCCTGGAAAAATTAAATCAAGCATAATAGCAAGTGATTTCAAACTTGGAAACCTTACAATGAAAGATGTTCAGAAATCTGTCAAAGAATATAGAACAACAACGAGATTAGCAGCAATAACCAAAAAAGGCACTTATTGACCCTATTGGGCAGTGTGGTAAGTGTGTTTACGTGTCCATGTATATCTGTCCAATAGCCAGTCGACTGGATCCACTCTTATCTCTATTCTGCAAGGCACCGAAAGGTTAAGTATTTAGCTCAAAGTCATACAGCCGGTGAAGGTTAGAGTTGGACTCAAACCCAAATCCTCTGGTTTTACAGGACGTGCTTTTCAACTCTGCACCATTTTTCTCATTCTTCTTTATCCAGATAATACCTGTTACCAAGGGACCAATCTGGTAAAATAGTACCAAACTGTTTCAGGACTAAGCTAAAGAGACAAACATTCCAAAGCTTTCTTTTTTTTAATAAAGCAGTTTCACTTCTCACGTTGTGCTGTGCATGCATCTGCAGCATGTGTCTGTGTAAACACACTTCAGGCGTGTCAATGGCCACGAAGAGGTGAGCTACATTTCTGAACTGTCTTAATGAAAAATTTACATTAATATTTATAATTAATTAATTTGGCAAGGGACTAGAGCACACCCTACTGGCCAGCTAATAGGAAATACAGCATTTATTTTAGACAAAATGCTTAGATGTTTACATCTGAAGATAAAGGCAGGTTAATGCTTAAAAGAAACTTGAAAAATTTATCTTAAAAAATCTAGATTACATATCTAAATGAATGACACTACAGGAGACTAAAAAATTCTAAAAGTTATATAAGTTTTAGAGATGGGATAGCATCGATCCGCCAATAGCATCAAATATTTGTTAAGGGAGCATTAGGTACAGGAAAGGAAGCTAAGCTAAAAACAAACAACTATGTAAACGGCCTGGTCAAAACCCATTCCAAGGGCCAGGGATTTAGCTCAGTGGTTCCGTCACCTGCCTTGCAAGAGCAAGGTCCCAAGTTCGATCCCCAGTACCTTAAAAAAAAAAAAAACCCATACCAAGACAAAGTAGTAAAGCCTTGTCCCTAACAGTTAAAACCATAGGCTAATAAATTATAACCACTCAGTCTTCTCACAGGCTACATGATGGATGGATAGGTAGACAGACAGACAAATTCTCTCTTTTAGGGGAAAAGCTAGGAAGGGAGAGTAAAACTCCTAATTACACAAAGAAATAATGGAATGTTGCAAAGAAATGTTTTTCTGTGCTGCTCTTCCAATGTCTGCTGAGTTGGAAAGCTCAGTGCAAGCCTCTGTTGTGTTGCGGAGATCCTCACAGCTCTTATCAGAGTGTGCGTTTTAAAGTAATCCACGGAGCTTATTGGAGATGTATAATATATATGCCTATGCATGATTGTTTCCAAAATATAGTTCAGGATACCAAACAGCTTCTAAAGACTGCAGTTCTTCCATCTCATGTATCTTTTAATCACACAGTATAGACTAGTAAAAAAACAGTACCTAATAGACATTTATGTCCATGTGTACACAGAAATAAAGACTCTAGGACTAATAAGGGAACACAAAAAGGGTCTGACTTTAAAATATTTCTTTATTAGTAGGAACACAAAACCACCTATGACCAAGACGAATAAAAGCCAGAAATGTGCATACTTTTCTATAGGACTGCAATACGTAATCACATAAGCCTACATTTGATAACTCCCTGTCCAGCACATTTCTGCTTATACATGACTGAAATTTCCTTGAGCAGTGTCCGCAGAACAATGTGATTCTCAGGTTTCTGAGTCAAAACCTCAAGCCTGATCTTGCTCCAAAGACAGTTTCTCCTTATGCTGAAAGAAAAGCATTTGCAAAATGACAATTTGGGTCAATATGACACAGTTCTCATGTTGTTGATGTTTAAGTTCTATTCAAAACAGTCAGCTAGGGCAGGGGATTTAGCTCAGTGGTTCCCCCCCTTGCCCTGCAAGCATAAGGACCCAAGTTGGATCCCTGGTACCAAAAAAAAAAAAAAAACCAGTCAGCTAACATAAATTTCTTGGGAAATGGACTCAAATGTTCTGTAAGAGATTTTTAAAAACATTGACTTTAAATTTCTTTCTTATTGGAAATAGTTTAAAACCACATTGGGTTGATGAGAAAAGAATATTTTCTCTGAATCGTTAATCTAGTGTTCAAATCCACTGAAGGTCAATAGATGATCAGTTGATAAACATGCTAGAATCACTTCATATTGCTTAGCATTTTTCCTTCTAATCTTTTCCCAGAATATTCTGCAGTATTATTGACATATTGATGTTATTACAAAATACCATTAAGTAGACTATTAGATAACAGATTTGTGGGGTGTAAGTCTTCTCATCAACTCCTCCACAGCTGAGAAAGTTTTATTATATGAATATAATTATAAGCTGACTTCATTAAACTAGCATCTATAAGTTTTTCCAAAAACTGAATAAATCAGATGCTTATTTTGCAAGTTTAAAATAGAAGACAAAAATCAGATTAATCACGTATTACTCATGATTTTTGATAATTTACCAACACATTAGCACATCCTACAACTCACAACTATATCCTGTTGATCTTCTTTCTCTAAAGAAGGGGTGTGTCTGATGGTTGCCCTGGTGATTATCACTGTTTTATGAATAGGGGAATGTAAAAGCATGCCAATAAGGCCAAAGCACAAATTACAACTGTATTGTGGTGACTTGAAATAGCGTAACTAGGGTTCCTTTTAAATGAAACTGGAGCTCACCCAGTACCCATTCAGTAAATGCTGTACCATGAGGTCTGAAAAGATGTTCTCAGGCAGATCTTTTTTTTTTTTATCCTGATAAACAGCATATGGGTGAGCTGGGAACGTAAGTGAGGAAGGTCTGGGGTTGAAAGACCTGGATAGATTTTCTGCGAATCAAAAAAAATGTAGTTAATTGAGTAAGAATATCAGCAATAGTTGTGACTAATTTTTATAATCCTAAAATAATACTAAGTGAATGACAATAAGTAAGAGGATAACTAAGTTGGGATAACTAAATTGTTGATAAGTATTGTGGCGGGAAGATGACCCAACAGCCCCTGCAAGCCAGGAGGAACCATCAGAAAGAAAAATGTAGCCCGTCTCTGCCAGACATTTGTTTATCTTGCAACACAGAAGGCAAAGGGATAATATATATATTTAATTTTGTCCTCACGGCCTTGAATTCAAAAGCAGGCATTTGAATTAAAGAATGTAAGTTAATAATGGTGAAGAAAAGGCAAATCCGTTCACAAGCTCAGAGTTAATAGTTAACCTGATAATGAGGCCGGAACCTCATTCCATATGTTAAACTGGCCCAATTAGGCGGTGCTGGCAGTCCAATCAGCAGGCCTTACCCTACAAGTTCGAGAAGGGCCCGCCTCCACCCCAGAGTGCCACTCAGGGAATCTGCTAGCTCCAACTGGAGGGTTTCTGTCTGTTTGCTTTTTTTCTCACTTTAGCTACTCTTGGTTTGTTATCATTTGTATTATTTATTTTACGGTTAAAGTATAAGCCCAAGTTGCATCACTGGCGCCCCCGGAAACCTCCTCTGCAGCCTCGCTGGCGTCGCGTCCTTAGGCATCAGTGGCCGCCCCTTCCCCTGGTGCCAGGAGACGTCGAGGCCACTGGGCCCGACCGGTGACAGGTAAACACGGAGCGAGGCGGCGGGCGGGCCTGGGGTCAGCACCACCGAGCCTGTCAGCTTCCTGGCGCGCGACAGCGCGGCTACGTGGCCGACGTGGCCTGCACACTGTCCCACGCTGTCCCTTGCTGCTCCTCCCGGCCCTGCACCGTCCCTCATTGGCCTGCATCCTGCGCCTCGCTGTTCCTCGCGGCCCCTCGCTGTCTTTCTTGGTCCCTCACCGCCCCCGGATCCCCCTCGCGGGCTCCCGCCCCATCTGCCCGGCGGCAGGGGCGAAAAAGCCAAGTCCTGCCCGGGGCTGGAGGGGAGTTCCGCGCGCGGCCGGGCTTCCCGCAGGAGAACTTGGAGTCAAAGGACTCCGCAGCTGTTCACAGAGCCGGCGCAGGTCACGGGCGATGCGCCCGGGCCACCTCTTGGGACACCCAGCTTGCCTCCCGCGCGATCGCGCGACGCCCCGGTGGGCCCCACGCAAACGCGGCTTCGGCGGCGTCGCCCCTTTAAGCGCCTGGCCTCCCGGGTTGGTTGCGCGAGGGAGGCGGGGCGGGCAGCGTCGACGTCATGCTCGGCCCAGATGCTATAAATATAGGCGGCGGCGGCGGGACAGCAGCGGCCCAGTGCGAGGCGAGGCGCGCGGGAGAGTGCGAGCGGAAGACGACGCGCCTGCGCAGTGTCCAGGCCCCCCCGAGCCCGCGGCCCCGAGCCAGCCGGGACGGACATGCGCGAGAGGGCGCCGCGGGCAGCCGCCGCTCCCCCGGGGTAAGGGGCCTGGCCCGCCGAGAGGGGGTGGGGCGGACGCGGAGGCGGGCGGCTCCCGACGACGGAGGGCGGGGTGCGCAGGGCGCGGAGAGGGCGCGGGGTGCCCTCGGGGGCGCCTGGGGCCGGGGTCGCCGTGCCCGCCTCCTTCCCTGCTCCGAGGTGGCGACGCTCCTCCCCGGGCTGGGGCCGAGCACCCCGGAGCCCCGCACGTCCCGGCCCCACCGGGCTCCGGGCTCGGACGGCGGCGGGCTCCAGAGCGGCGCCCTCGGGTCCCCCGCCGCCGGCGATCGCGGCCCGGGCTCTCGGTGCCGTGCGGTGCCCGTGCGTCCTGCCCAAGGCTCGCGCGGGAGGCTGCGGAGCGAGGTCGCGACTGCTCGTCCGCGCTTGCTTCCAGCTCTCAGCCGCAGCCTGCCGGCTCCCCGCATCTCTCAGCGACCCGTGGGCATTTCCAAAATCTGTGTTTTTCCATTCGTCCCAGTCGCTCCGCGTCCATTTCTTCCTACTCTAGAAACGTGATTCCTTTCTCTGAGTGTCTTTACAACCTCAAAAGGAATGGAACTGCGGAGTTTCGTGTTCAAAACGTGAATGCCTGTTGGGAATTTCGTGTATTTATATGTACATGGTAACCTTGTACACACGAGATGATTGCCTAACCATGATTGGGGCCGTATTGGTGCTTGGTAGGTCTTTATTAAGGTTTCATCCTTGCTTGAAAGAAACCAGTCTCTTACCTGATAAAAATGTGAATAGATTGTTAGTCATAAACTTAAGTGCAGTCAGAAGAGAGGCTGTAGCTTTAAAAGAGATGTATTGGTGACTTGAGGTACACCTGTACCACAGGTAGGGCAGGACTGGTTTCTAGGCAACTGTCAGGGGTGAAGAAAGGTGAGGTTTAAAAATGCCTTTTTGTTTTCCTCCCGGAGAACAAATGTTCTGCAGAGTTTCAAGCTTGTATAAATCTGTAAGGATGCAGTGGGTATACATTTGTTGAGACTGAAACATCTGGGTTCACTGTACTTAGTCTTCACTTTTTAAAAAACTGTATTTCTTTCCATTTCTGTAATTACACAGTTTTATGAGACATTTTACTTAAGGAGACCAAAGACAGCCTAGGTAGCTGTAATAGCAAAAGACCAAATTTTTAAAGACCAAAATAGAAGAAGCCGATTTCTTGGTAACCTGCTGGCTGTGATAGATTCTAAGTATGTCATCAGTCCATCCCTTTTCTGAATAGTAGAGGTTTTTACATAGATTTCAGACACTCTTTGTCCTTCCCCTCACTTCCTGTACAGGTTTTTTTCCCCCACCTGTGCTCTGGTGGATGCTTGCTAATAGGCGATGGAAGTCTTCAGCTATCAATTTATAACCTGGCAGGTATATTGGACAGCAAACTCCTTCAGGGCAGGAACCCTGCCTTGTATAGCTTTTATCTTGCACAGCCTTGCACATAGCTGGTGTTGATAAATAAATGCATGAAAGCATGTTTTACATTTTCGGGCTCAGCAGAGTTGGCCCAGTCACTGATAAGGGTTGGAAAGTAAATCTATTTTTTATAGTTGTTACGAAATGTCTGAATTATTCATAATTTTGACAGGTAAAATTGTTTTTCTCTACTTTCAGTACACAATAGGTTCTGGTTACCCTCCTGTGAGGTGTAATTATGTTGCAGTCTTGAGTTTTTGTATGAAAATAACTCCTCACTGCTGTTTCTCAAGTTGAACTAGATAATACTTCCTTTCTGCTCATACTAATGGTAGCTTTTAAAAGCAAGTTGCCTAAATTACAGGCACAATCTAACTTGCTTGAAACTGACCTGATTGTCAACATACCATCAGGTTGCTTTAGAAAGCTGAGCAGAGGAGGGAAAAGGTGGTGCCCAGGATAATTCCTGGAATTTGAATGTTGCAGGCTCCCTCTACCAGAGAAGCAGTTGCTATTATTCTCAATAAATATGAACTGTTACCACATCCTCAGGATACACTTAGCATCCTTTGCAGGTGTCTGGTGATGCTGTGTAAAAGCTAATAAATGACCGCCTCACTAGATAAACACAATGTAGTTGTGGTATTCTGGCATTGTTCACACAGTATAAACACATGCTTGTCAAGGTAGATAAAGCTGGTGAGTTTCAAGGTCCTGACTGTAAGTCACTAGCTTAACAGAGAATTAATGTTAGGGCAGAAAAAAGTTAGTGCGGGATTCAGATTTAGAAGGTGAGAGGAAGAAAGATTCGGAGACTTGGGGTTTTCACTGATCCTCGGGACCAGTTCCCTGTGCCTCAGATTGGTGATGTCACACACAGACCTCCCTTCCAGGCCTCAGTGAACGTATCTGTTTCGTGTGGGACTTGGGCTGCATAAGACAGAGACCCTTTCAACCCAGAAACAGAATGGTAAGGGTTAGAAGACATTGTTCAAAAACTCTTATTTAGGACCCACAGACAGGAAATTTGCCTCATCAGAGATTGTTGCTTAGGACATACTGACATACTGTTCACTGTGTGTGGAAGGCTCTAATAACTCTTCTCATGGCTACTCTTTCATCCTTTGGATTTTGGTTTTAAGTCACCTGCTCAGCTAGTCCTTCCCTAGCACCTGTGTAAATAGTGTCCTAGTCCACCTCCTTGTGCTGTCACCGTCCCCTGCTTGTTCCCTTGAACGTTAGCACAATCATCTGAAATTGTTGGCTGCCTTGTTTGTCATCCCTGCTGCCCATTAACTCAGAGACTTCACAGACAGCATCTACACCTCCCTTTCACCTCTCACACTGGGCCAGAAAAAGCATCTGATATATATTTGTGAAAAGAATTAGTCCTTGCCCTCTAAGAATCTGAGAGGAATACCAGGCTGAATATAGTACCCATCTCTGCGGCAGCACTTAGCAGTCCTTTGTGTCAGTCTCCACTTTTATAAACAAGACTGTTAGGAGGAGAGACATGAAGACACTGGAGAGGAGAGGTGGCGAGCGTGTCCTGGGGAAACCCTGGCTTGCAGGGCAGAAGAGCCCTGATGGCGCTGCTCAGGGCAGGATGTTTAGCCTCGCTTCATTTCCTTATTTGCAAAATGGAGATCCTAATCCTTGCTCTGAGAGGGGTGTTGTGGGGATCAAGTGAGATAATGTGTAAGAAAGTGCTTTGTAATTGTGTAGAGTGCCCTCCAAACAAGGTGCACTGTGGTTAAATTGCAGATTTTACAGTAGAACCTGATTGTAATGCCCTCATTGGGAGCCATGCTGTGGCAGTGCTGGAGAAGGCCTGTAGGGTATGTGGAGGAGCCCCTTCCACAAGTCCAGTCAGCTCTGTGCTGTGTCAAACACAGAGTTATAGCAGACCCCGTGTGGTGGGTATCCGAGTCACTGAAGGTTGAGGGCTTGGAGAGAACTGTTGCTAGTGGTGGTAGGTGGTCAGATTGATCCCATAACCCACCCGTGTTAGATTTGTAAGCCGAGGGCAGGGGATTTAGCTCAGTGGTTCTGGCGCCTGCCTTGCAAGCACAAGGTCCCGAGTTCGATCCCCAGTACCAAAAAAAAAAAGGATAGCTGGAAGAACAATTAAAGACTTAATAGGACAATTTGAGGGAGTTGAAGTAAAGCAGACACTTTCATAGACTTCAGATTATCCCTGCCCATGAAAACTGTTATCAAGCAAAATCCTCCCCTTGCAGAAATGTGTGTGCACTGCCCATAAAAGCGGAGCATGGTGCTAGAGCAGATCCCACCCCCAGTGACTGTCAGAGGGAGGTTGTGTGGCAGTTGAGAGCCTGGGCTTAGAAGCAGCCTTCCTGCAGTGTGTCCTGGCCACATGGTCGCTAGGTTCCACCTGGAGCAGCTCCTCTGTAAATGAGAGTGGTAATGGAAACCCCGTGGCACAGCTGGGAAGAGGATTAGATACACACTTGAAGCACACACAGCAGCGCCTGGCATATAGGTGTCCGATGGATGCTAGTTATTATTAATGGCTATATGTTAATTGTAGCAATCCAGAGTTTCCCATTGGGTAACCTAAATGCTTGTTAAATAAATTTGAAGTTTTAAAGACTTGCCTCCTGTCATTAGACCATTGTGTTCATTGTCGTTAAGATTCAATGGATTTCACAGGTCTTTCACAGTTAGAAATCTATTGTATGTTGAAAGGGAATATGTTTCTGTCTGTAAGTATTGCGCTCTGGAGGAAAAGGAGAAAAGAACACATTCCCTCATTTTCTGCTGTCGTATTAGGATTGTGTGGGGCTGAGTGCATCAAAAGGCTATTGATTATGGTGGTTGAACGAATAGTTTTTGTTAGCTTGCCATTTCTTAAAATACTTTGCTTGAAAGTTTCCCAATTATTGAAGAAATCGTGTCATTTAGTTTTGATTTTGACAGTCTGAAGAGAATTATTTTCCTTGTTGCCTCCATTTCACAACCTACAAATGGGCCTTTATGTGCTGGCCGTGTTTAGGGTCCCCAAGGAGCGGAGCTCCACTCACAGGCACAGACGTTCATTTTCACCATTGCAGGCTGCGTTTTAATCCCTGCGAGAACCATCCAGTTGTGCTTGGATTCATCCACGAGTACTTTAATTGCGTTTTATTCAACAAGTCATCCCTACATTTATGTGATTTTTTTTTTTTTTTTTTGGTACCAGGGATCGAACTCCGGTCTTTGCACTTGCAAGGCAAGCGGCAGAACCACTAAGCCAAATCCCTGGCCCTATCATCCCTACATTTAATTTAAAGGCAATTTCTGCTCTTCCATGGCAACAGAGTACAACAAAGGAAATTTTCTTAACTTGCCTCTTCTTTTCTTTCCCTACCCCCAAATCATAGCCTATTAAAATGAAATCTAAAGACCTGAATTAGAGCCTTTGTTTTTGAAAAATCTCTGCAGATTTTCCTTTTGCTTTCAGTAAATAAACTCAGGTTGTACCACATCGTAACTGCCATAAACACTGAATATATCCATGAATATCAAATAAGTGTTTTCAGATTATTAATAAAATTCCATGAAGCAGATAAGCTGAATGTTGTGTCAAATAGTCTGGTTACTAGTGCTCTCGATATTACAGTCAGATAGTGGGTTTTTTGTATTTTCTGAGATGGTTAGACATTTTTTAAATGAACAGAAACACATTGGTGTATTGGGGAGGATCTAAAATGATGGGATGTGTCATATTACTAATTAGTTTCCTTTTTTAAATTTTGTTTGTAAATATGTTACCTTGTGTCTTCCCTGATTTTGGAAATAGTTATGTAGGTAATTGTTAAATGCAGCTGAAAAGACCATTTATCACTCTGAACAAACAGAAATCAGGTTCTAGAACCAGATTGAAGAAGGAAATTACATCACACTCTTAAATAAGGAAGCACTGGGCAGATCTGGATGAGTTGTATGACAAAAATGTGCCCCTCCTCCTCTTGTAGATTGCACCTGAGATTTATTAATGAGATCTGGTGGTAAGGTGAGCATATCTAGGTTACTGCCTTAAGGTAGCCTGGGAGTCTGTGAGTGTGCGTGCGCGCGTGTGTAAAAAGCAGTTTCAAAGAGATTATCTGCAAGCTAAAGGCATGTGGTTTCACCTTAATAAAAAGGTGTGCAGTGTGATTTGGGTATAGCTTTTTTTTTAAAGGAAGGTTACCTTAAATTTAGCAGTGAAAACACAGTAGGTGCATTGTCGTCCAGAAGGAGTAGTGTGCAAGAGAAGGTAGAGTTCTTTGTTTCAGAAAGCTCTCCCCTAATGGCTTCAGGTGAATTCAGACTAACAGAAGCCAAATTAGAAAGCTGTGTTAGGCATTGAAGCTTAAATTTTTTGCTCAGCCTGTCCACTGTCCACTTGGATTTCGGAAATGAGTTCAGGATATCCTCGGCCTGTTAAATTGTTGTTGGCAGTCTCCTCACCCCAGCACACGTTGACTTTATCCCTTACAAATCTTCAGTTTTTCCCTCTTAGCTGACTTACAGCCTGTGAGAGACTGTCATGTATGTAATTACTTTCTAGAAACGAGCTGGGTGTTTTTCCAGTGTCCATTTAATCAGTATTTATTAGAAGGAAACGAGGCCAGGGTCAGAGACGGACACAGCAGACCCCAGCCCCAGCCCCGCAGATGGGGACGGTGGGAGGGAAACCGGCCCAGCACGAAGCAGTCTCAGAATGAGACACTGCTCCTCCTCACAGGGAGGGTTCGTGGGGCCGAGGGCTACGTTGGATGCAGACAGATTGGAGAGAAGAAGCCCTCGTAGCAGGTGGCTTGGACCACCACCTGGCTTGCCTGGGCCGCGCTGCCTGAAAGGAATTGTCATGGGCTGCATATAAAATACATAATTATATAAGTAGCAAGACTGCCTTTGTTTAGGGTATTTTTTATTGTAACACAGGTATGTAAAGGCTCACACGCATGCCACGTGGAGGAGGTTTTATTTAGGAGCCTTTGAAGGTTCCTGAGCAGGGGAAGACGTTAGTTGGAGCAGTCTGTGAGGACTGTGGATCTGACACCGGTGTGTAGAATGGGTTATTTTCAGGCCTGAGGCAGGTGCAGCTGGAAGGAGAATCCAGTTGAGAACAAATACAAACACACTTTGGGGAGCTTGGCAGTTGAATGTGTATCAGCCTTAACTCAGATGGAAAGCCATGCCTCTTGGAGACATGTGATCCCCCTGGACCATGAACTGGGGGAGCAGAGTTAGCAAAAAGACAAGTCTGGTTTATAGAGTTTAAAATGCCAGCGGCCCATCCAAGTGGAAGGATAATCACCAGACAATAGGGAATCAGAGTTGAAGCTCGGGCCAGGCTGGAACCCTCCATTCAGGGACTCTGCAGAGCTGAAGCCACAGGAATGGGTTAGAACTTGGGGGGAGGAGGAGAGAGAAATAAAATGAGATCCTCCAGAAGCACAGGACTTAAAGCCCCCACACCTTGAATTAAGGTGAGAATCAGGGACGTGAACAGAAAAAGGCAGCCCTTATCTGAAACTGGTATTTAAGTGCATTTTTGACCCACTGAAAAGGCTGAAGATTAGTCTGTGAGTGTAACAAAAATTGTCATTGCTGTGTTGTTTGGATCCTGTCTGCACCATGCTGCCTGGATTAGCACTCGTGTTTCTGTTTCTGCATTCCATAACAGTGGCATCTTGTCCTTTCAGGTATTGATTTTTCCTACATAGGTAGCTTTTTTGCAGTTGTTTTTCTAATGAATTATACAGCAGAACTAGTTTCCAGTCATAAGGAGCCAGATAACATTTGACACATGCAGCACTAGATTTCACTGGAGCAGGATTTCTTTCTAGCTTGCAGTTGGCCAAATTGACTTCTTTCTCTCTCTCTCTCTCACACACACACACACACACACATACACGGGCGCACGCACGCGCTTGGACACACACACACACTATATATGGACTAAATACTGGGTTTTCAGAGAAGTGGAATAGCATTTCAGGTGGTTTCATGCCCTCAATTTACAGTCTAAAGAACAATTATTTTAAACTTTTCTTCCAGAGCTATGGGATTGCTCATTTTGGATCTCCAGCTTGAAGTTATTTTCCTGAAGAAGAGAACATGGCAATTATATCGCCCTCCTCACTTCTCCCATGCAAGCGAGTAGGAAGTTCGGACAGTTTCATAACACAGCCCATTCACAATTCCCCATTGAAATTTAGAGGCAGGTCACCTTCTATGAATACACAAAGACACTATTGTGGTCAGAAGTGAGCTGGCTTAGTGAACACAATTCTTTTTATACTAAAAAAATTTTTTTCTTAAGAAAGCTAACAAGTAGGTGATGGAAACAATGAGTAAAAAATAACTTTTTCTAGAACGTATAAATAATTTTAAGTGGCCATTGGAATGTAAGTTTAGAATTCCCAGGCCATTCAGCAGGGGCCATCGTTACACAATCGTTCTGTTGAAAGCTTCAGATGTGGATGGCACTGGGAGGCTGACACACAGTAATTACTAGGAGCACTTGGCTTGCCGACAGGTGGGGGCTGGGCTCCAGAACCCCCGCAGCATTTTCCTCTAATCTGGATGAACAATCTTCAAACGTGCGCTTCCAAACTACTTAAATACCATATTCCTCTTCCTATCTTGCCTTTCATTTTTTATATTACCACAGATACTTTTCCTGTAGTCTTGCCAGTGCTTGTAGAATGCTCAGAAAAAGCATGATAAGCCACTGGGCTCAGTACCCAAAGTACATTGGTTTCTAAATTTTACATAGCTTTACCTGATGGTAAATAATGCATTTGCTCCATTTTTCATCTAAAACCACCCTCAAAGACCTCCCAGTGATTAGAATTTCTTCAGTGGCAGATTTTTTAAAAATCATGTGTCTTTGAGAGGTTGATTTTAAGAAAAATAATGCTTGGCTATTTGCAATAATATTTTAAACTTATCATGAAATCTGCGCCCCGCATGGCAGAAGAGCAGACTGGGAGAGGAAGCGCAGAGGCTCGGTGACTGGGCCATCCCTTGTCGCTGAGACCTTTACTCTCGCCCTTCCTTGTTAATGTGGAAAAGACACAAATGATAAACACTTGCATTTCTTTAGATCTTCACCTAACACACTCTGCTCTGTTGCTATCGATGATGATAACTCGATGGCGTTGTACAGTCTTTAGCATTCACTTACTGAGTGCCTACTGATGTGATGATTAAAAGCTGATTGGGGCGCAGCCGCTGTCCCTGAGCTCACAGTCTAGTAAGAGGTGACAGATTTGTAAATAATAGACTTTAAGTTGTTGAGCAATTCTAGAACTGCGTGCCCCACCCCCTCTGCAGAGGTGGCGGTGTCACCTTCATGGCATCTGCAGTCTTCAGCCCGGCGCCAGCGCTCCGTAGGTGTGCAGATATTTAGTGAGAGCGAGAAGGTGCTGTTGTTTATGTGTACATTCCCCCAAGGGTCCTCACAGGGATGGTTGCCAGTATCCTGACGTCTGAGGAAAAAAAGACTTGAAGTAAATGAGAATATCTGAAGGCAGCAAAAATTGACACTAATTCACACTTGATGATGTAACCAGTGTTAAAGTAAATTAAAAAGAGGCCATGCAGACTTTAAACTGTAACATTTGACAAGGGAGGGGGTTCCTAAAGTTTAAGAAAAAATGTACTTAGCTTTTATATTTAGCAGCGAGGCAAGACATGAAATACTGGGCATTTGACAAAGGAGAATGTGAAGAATGTACTTTTAAGTTTGTCTTTGCAAGGGAGGGAGGACACTGTCCCAGTCTACCACCAAAGCCAGTAATCTTGCAAAACTTGATTTTCACAGGATAATGGAAATTAGGGTCTTCACATATAACTACTTCTTGAGGAAGTAATAACTGGAGAATATGTCTTCCACGGCCATTCCCCAGTACAGACTCCAAGTAAATGCTAGGCTGCGGGGCAGTCAGGCACCAGGACTGCAGAATCTCTTGGATTTTTTTGTTTTGCTTTGTTTTGGTACCGAGGATCAAACTCGGGACCTTGCACTTGCGAGGCAGGCGGCAGCACCACTGAGCTAAATCCCCGGCCCCAGAATCTGTTGTTTAACTGTCGGGTCTTGCTGAATCCTGGGCTGCAGTGTGAAATATGGTGTTTCTCTGATTTACTGTGTTAGCCTGGCGAAGATAAGCTGGACTCGCTTGTGCCTCTTGCCCAGTACAGCCTTTCCTTAGAACAGTGGTGGCGAGCGTGCTGCTTGTTTTTCTTTTAAGACAAAAGATGTTAATGTATGAGTTGTTTTTTTCTGAACTAAAACATCAGTACTCAGGTTTAATTGCAGGTCTAATTGACACTCTGATAAGTAAGTGGGTTTTGGGTTACAGTCTCTAAGAGGCTCGGCACCCCTGCCTTAGGAGGTTGCTCCAGTGGGACGGGGTGGGGAGCCTGATCTGCTGTCCTGCAGGCTCTGCAGTGGGCGATCTGCTTCTCTGATGCTGGACGCTCTTCTGTGAAGACATTGCTGAGTCTGGATTGAGGGGTGGAGATACGTAAGAGTATATCGATGCATATGTGTGCGTGTGTGCGTTCGCTGGTATGTATAGTAGTGTGTACATTTACCCTCAAAAGAAGTAAGATGTGAAGCCCTGCAACTGAATTTTTCTATTCCATACTCTTCAAATGCTCTAATATTAACCCATTTATGCCATAATTTAGAGTATCCTAATATATTTTTGAATTTTTTTCCCTGATCCCTCTTAGGGAATGAAAGCTACTGGTTGACTTCAAACCCTGGGCTTCACAGCCTTGGAGACATCCCAGAATAAGGCACAATGTCCACAGCAGGAGTTGCTGCTCAGGAGATTCGAGTCCCATTAAAGCCGGGATTTCTGCACAATGGCCAGGCCCTGGGGAATAGGAAGACCTGCTGGGGCAGTCGCAGTGAGTTTGAAAAGTAAGCAGAGGATGCGGTGCTGCCTTCTGAGTGACAGTGTGATGTGACCATGTGCAGAGAGCACCATGGCTGCTCGAGTGTGACCGAGCTGTTCTCCTCTCCTCTCCTTTCAGTACCTTCCTAAACATCGACCCCATCAGCATGGCCTACAGTCTGAACTCGCGGGCTCCGGAGCCCCTGCCACCTGTCAGTACGTATCCTGTATCCTGCACGGGAGGGAGGGATGGGGCCTGGGGAGAGGGAGCTGGCTGGTCCTGCAGCATTGCTTTGTAAAAGTGGAGACCTGAGCTGTGTCCAACAGTAGTCTGACCCCTAGTGGCAACAGAGTCTGAACATAGCTGTGTTTTTCTGGACCTGAGGCAAACCTCACCATGGCCCTACCCTCAGTACTGAGTCCTGTGAGAACTGGGGGAGTGTGATCTTCTCAGATCCAGAATGAGTTCTCTCCTGCTGCATTGCATACTTAACCTTTTGAAACTTTGGAAAAGATCTCATCTTTATTCATAATATTGAATGCATGTGTGAAAGTATTTGGTGAAAGTAGTATACATGTTCATCACAGCTTAGGAAACTGTATGTATGTGGTTCTGTGGTTGAAGATTATGTTCCTCAGATTTTTTCGAGCTGCTTATCAGGGGAACCCACTGCAAGCGAGTCCATGTCTCGGTATTAGGATGTGCTGGCAGTGAGGACCTTGTCTTAACTCACTCATGCCCGGCCTGCCCTGTATTGTTGCGTGTCTTAAATGGCAAGGCTGGCATAGCATGGCACTCATGGAAATTATATGCTGCTCGTCTTCTGCACATTTTGCACACAGCACAGAACTTGCCTGAGACGTGTGGGTGTGCATCATGCACATGTCCAAGGGAGATGGAGCAGATAACTTGTTCTTTGAACCGGGTCACGTGCGTTCACCATCTTGTGGCTCTAATTACCCCTGCGGTGGTGGCTTGGGTGTCTCGGGGCTGCTGGGGCTGTCTCTCCCCACGCTGGGGAGGAGCGTTGATCCTCACGAACGCCCCTTGTCCCTTCCAGGGCACGCCACACAGCCTGCAGCGATGAATGGCCAGCACTTTGCAGAAACGGGGCCCTCCCACAAGCCCGGCCTGCCCCCTCTCATCATTCCCTCAGGTGACAGCCTGCGACAGGGTGAAGAGGATCAAGTTGTGTGTGGCTTTAAGAAACTCGCGGTGAACGGGGCCTGCACCTCCACTCCCCCACTTACCCCGATAAAGACCTGCCCTTCCTCGCTTTTCCCCTGTGAACGAGGCTCCAGGCCCCTGCCTCCGCTGCCCATCTCCGAAGCCCTCTCTCTGGATGAGGCAGACTGCGAGGTGGAATTCCTGACCAGCTCCGACACAGACTTCCTCTTGGAAGACTGCATGCTTTCCGATTTCAGATATGACCTTCCTGGCAGGCGAAGCTTCCGTGGGTGTGGACAGATCAACTATGCATATTTTGACACCCCCAGTGTTTCCGCAGCGGACCTCAGCTTCGAGTCCGACGAGAACGGAGGGCCCCCCAGTCCCAACCCTCCTCCTGCTCAGACCCACCGCCGGCTGAGGAGGTCTCACTCGGGCCCTGCTGGCTCCTTCAACAAGCCGGCCATCCGCATAGCCAGCTACACACACAGAGCCTCACCCAACTCTGATGAAGACAAGCCTGAGGTCCCCCCCAGGGTCCCCATCCCTCCCCGGCCAGTGAAGCCAGATTACAGAAGGTGGTCTGCAGAAGTGACTTCCAGCACCTACAGTGACGAGGACAGGCCTCCCAAAGTGCCCCCAAGAGAACCTCTGTCCCGGAGCAACTCCCGCACACCGAGCCCCAAAAGCCTTCCGTCTTACCTCAACGGGGTCATGCCCCCGACCCAGAGCTTTGCCCCAGACCCCAAGTACGTCAGCAGCAAGGCCCTGCAGAGACAGACCAGCGAGGGCTCCACCAACAAGGTTCCCTGCATCCTCCCCATCATTGAGAATGGGAAGAAGGTGAGCTCGACGCATTATTACCTGCTGCCCGAGAGGCCACCGTACCTGGACAAGTATGAGAAGTTCTTTAGGGAAGTGGAAGAAACAAACCCGAGCGCCCAAATCCAGCCGTTCCCTGCTGACTGCGGTGAGGCGTCGGCCACAGAAAAGATGGACTGTAAGACAGTAGCCGACCTGGGGGCCCACACGAAGCGCAAACACTTATCCCACGTGGTTTCTCCCTAGACTTGGGGGTCGCGGTGCCGAGGAAGTGACACAGGAGCAGGTGGTTCTCCATTTTCCAGTTGGACTGAGGTCCACAGAACAATCTGTCAGATGGCAAAACACAACAGTTGAACTCTGTTAAAGAACACAGAGAAGCGAGCAGTTGTGAGGTGCTGTTATGCCAAGAGTCCCGGATTTGTCAGTGTTGGAGGGAATGTCCATTCAGAGATGTGGCAGTGGGGAGGGGAGGACGGGGAAGCTTTTACATAGCTACGCTGTATGCCTACAGATAAACTTGTGGTGTAACCATAGACCATAGCTGCAGGTTAACTGATTAGTTACTGTCTTAGAGTAATATATATTCAGAAGAATAAAAAGCCAAGCCGGAGCACTGGCTGATGACAGACTGGAGATTGAGCAAATGGAAGAAAAAAGCAGTATTCTTTAGATCAGAATCATTCAAAAAAAATTGTTCTTGTTTAGTAAGTTTGAAGATTTCCGGCTCTTAGGCCTGCTGGATGTGTTCATTTATTTTTGCAAGTAGTCTTCATGGAAGGCAGGGCACGCGTTCTTGACCATGTCTATACCTGCCTCGTTTCAAAGCCATCCCAAGACTTCGTACTTCCAGGCTCTTTGTCTTCTGTCTCGTTGAGCGGAGGGATAGCAGTTTATTCGGCAGCCGTATCACCACTCTACACGTCTCACATCTTGAACAAAGAAAGCTAAGCGAATCCACCACTACTGCTCCTTACAGCTCCCGCTGATGGCGCAGGGGAGTGGCCCGTGGCAGTGTGGCCCGGGCAGTGGGTGCTGCCCGAGTCGGGGCACAGGCGCCTGCCCCGGCTCCAGGGTCCCTGCTGCAGAGGGGAGCGCTCAGCGGTGACTGCGCGTGACTGTGTGGGGATGCGTGTTGTGTTCTGTTATTGTTTTTTTAGACTGTATTAATAAACAAATACAACACAAGCTGGCCTTGTGTTGCTGGTTCCTATTCAGTATTTCCTGGGGGTTGTTTGCTTTTTAAGTGAAACACTGACCAGTAGCACGCTGTGTCTTACTGCCAGATGTCCCGTCTGCGGCTTCCTGCGCGAGCCCTCGGTGGTCGCTTCACTGCCGCTGGGCCCAGGGGGACAGACGCACACCCACCTTTGCTCCCCGTCACGGGCTCTGCTGCGTTTATCTGGTCCTGACAAGCGCGAGAGAAGGCCTCGCTAACCGCCGGACCTGACTGCGATGTGCTCCTAACAGATAAACAAGCTGTTTACAGTTTAAACTGCTGAATGATATTATTTGAGCTATTTAAAGCTTATATTTTAGTATCAACTAAATGAAGGTTAAAACATGCTTTAGAAAAATGCACTGATTTCTGCATTATGTGTACAGTATTGGACAAAGGATTTATTCATTTTGTTGCATTATTTTGAATATTGTCTTTTCATTTTAATAAAGTTATAATACTTATTTATGACACCATCAATAATGTTTCTTGCCTTAAACTCTTACAAAATGTCTGACAACCTTAACGTTTCTAAACAGGAGGGAAGATTCTTTGAAGTTTGTTATTTTCTAAGAAGTCAAGCTGAGGTGCCGTATTTTATTTTATTTGTTTATTTATTTATTTATTTTGGTACCAGGGATTGAACTCAGGTCCTTGTGCTTGCGCTTGTGCAGCAGGCGGCGAAACCACTGAGCTAAATCCCTGGCCATGAGGTGCTGTATTTTAAGTTACAGTGAAAGTAGCTGTTTGCATTTACCTGTGATAATGAAGAACATGAACTTGATTCTGGTGTTGCCATCAAAACAGTTACAGGGTGAGGGACGCGGTGGGGTCCCCATGGAGGAGAACACAGTGGAAGGAAGCAGTACAGTCGGGCAGGCTCAGTCTGCACCCCCAGATCTGGTTTCCTGGGTGGGCTGGCAGCCTTGGGACCTACACTGCTGGGCGCTCGCCTGAGCCCAGAGCAGGACTTGGTCAGGTGGCCTGGGCTGGAGCGGTACCCCCGCCTGTCCGCGGTCGGGGCCAGGTTCCTCAAAGGCCCGCCCGTTTTCTCCTTGGTAAAGCGTGTGCGGGGTGTGTTAGGGCTGCGAGTGAGCTGCAGTGACCAAAGTCCAGTGAGGGCCCCGTCCGCCAGCTTGGTTTTTCTGGTCCACTGTGTCTGGCGCTACAGGTGGAGACCTGGGCTTGGGGCGCTCACCAGACAGAGGTGGTACCACCGACGGCCCGGTCCTGAGGACGGAGACGAGAGGAGCCCCTTATGGGATTAAGGCAGCGCGACCTAGGGGAGGTGTCAGAAGTGGGGGGTGGCGTGGCATCTGGACGACAGGATCTGCAGGGCTGGGAGGGAGGCTGAAGGGAGGGGGTGTGAGCAGAGGACACTGTCAGGCCCTGGAGCAGGAAGACAATGGGCAGGGCCAGGCTGGGCGAGGGAAGAGGCGGTGGGCGCCACTCAGAAGACCCCAGCAGAGAGGAGCACGATGTGATCTCAGGAAAAATGTCTGCAGAGCAGCAGAATGTGACAGGCACTGAAGGCCGAGGCCCGCAGGGAGGTGGGAGAAACCATCGCCTGGGAAGATCCCTGGGAAGCAGAGCCAGGGGAGGGTGGCTCAGGGAGGCGGGCACTCCCACGCCCTCTCTGCTGTCCTGGTGCAGGGTGGCAGTGGACACTTGCTGGCGCCTGGGTGCAGCGCTTCCGTGCTCTTCCTCTGTAGCGCCTCTCCCTTCTCTGTCTTGTGGTTAAGAATCTCTCTCTTTAGTTCTAACTTTCTTCCCTCTCTGCATTTTTCTTGATTTGGCAAGAAAATACTTTCCCCAGCCACACAGGTGTGCCTGGCTGCCATGCTGCCGCTCACGGCCAGCACCCCACGCAAATGGAAGCCACAGGGTCCCTATGGCTAGGTCAGGTCAGTCTTGGCCCTTCCGACTCGGCTATGGCTCCCACCGTGCTGCGGCTTCATGGAGGGCCGAGCGCTCTCAAAGACCCCCAGTCTGTGATAGCAAAGTGCTGGCTTAAATCGGGGAAACCAGGCTGTGCGCTTGACCTCTCAGCCTCATGTAAACCCACGCAGCCCTCGCAGCCCTCGATCTTCCTGAGAACCTGCGAGACTGTATCACGACATTCCCCATCACCAGGGACCTCCCCACCGGACACAGACGCCAAGGCAGAAGGGCTCCTCCTCTGTGAGCCAAGTCAGAATGTGGTTACAGACCCCGCCACTTCCCACCCGCAGGAACCAGTGTTGCCTGTCTTGTTTTAGCGAAAACCATGCTAATGAAGTAATACTATTTGTTGCTTGTTTCCCTCTAGGTCTCAAGAGATGTCTTAACCATGCTATAAAAAAGAACTAATTTTGAGAGGATATTTCTTCACTGCTAGGGGCCTTATTTAAAAATGAAAAAAGTTGTAAGATAATTCATAGTTCATTACAAACAGAGCCATATCCAAAGGTCTCTAAAGAATGTATTTATTTGTTGGTGGTGATGGTGCTGGAGATTGAACCCAGGGCTTCGCACACACTGAGCACTCCTGCCGCTGAGCTACATCCCTGGCCCCAAAATCAAAACATTTTAAACTATTCTCCATTTTAGTACTTAATGTTCTCATACAGATAATAGTCTTAGGGTGTATTGGAGATTTTTTCCTTAAAAGTAAGGAAAGCTTCCAGCAGTTATTTCATACATAGGGTTTTTGAACTTTATCTTGAAATATAGACTCTCCTTTCAAAAATAGGAGAGGTTGGGGCCGGGGATTTAGCTCAGTGGTTTCACTGCCTGCTGCGCAAGCACAAGGACCCAAGTTTGATCCCCGGTACCAAAAAAAAAAAAAAAAAATAGGAGAGGTCCCCTGTCCTCATTTACCCGGAGTTCACTAATGAGAACATACTATCAAATCCAGGAAATTAACATCGACCCAGTACTCTTATTTAGAAAAAGTTCTTATCAAAATGAACTTCAGGCCAGGCATGGTGGTGCACGCCTGTGAGCCCAGCACTCAAGAGGCTGAGGCAGGAGGATTGCCAGGAGTTCGAGTCCAACCTGTCCTACATAGTGAGTTCAAGGCCAGCCTGAACTGCACTGTTGTCTCAAAACAAGAAACGAACTTTGGTTCTACTTTTAACAATTAATTTAGAAATTAATTTTGGCATTCTGTTAGGGTTTTTATAAAAGTTAACCGTAAAAAGATTTTGTCACATAAAGACACACGATGCTCGCTGTACATGGGAGGATAAAACAGCTGTATGTTAACTTGGATCTGGCAAGGCTTCCTCCGGGACTGACCTAGCCCTAGCAAGGACTTTCAAATTGGAGAACTCACGAATGGTCTTTCCTTTAAGGCCTCCAGGTATCCACAGCCTTCACGTTCCACATGTCTTCATATCAGTGTATAACAAGCCAGGAAGCAAAAGTGTTAAATTCTAATCCAGTCCTAAAGCTTTGAAGTACTCTTATCCAAAAGAAAGAAAGTTTTGTTCAAACTCAGATGCACTCAGGGACGTCTCGTCTCTGCAGACTGGGTCATTTGACAAAATGTCCTGGCCCCTTCGCTCCGTTGCATGGGGATCACGCATCTTTTAAGAACAGTTTCAGGCTCTATCTGAGTAAATGAAGTAACTTTGGAATCTGGTCGAAGGTCCCAGTGTAGCTACACTTGGCTGGCCTCACCTCTTACTCCCTGGAACTCTGCAGAATGGAGATTTAGGTTTGCCTGATGCTATCTGCTCATTGGGAGGATGTGATTTTTCTTGCTTTTCACTCGAAAGTGGCAAACTTCAAGACACTTCTACCTAAGCCACCAGGAATCTGCTACTGCAGCATGTTTAAACAAGCTCCCTCTACTTTTATGTTATCTGCCTGGAATTCAGAGCAGTAAACACACTTGTGTGTGTTTTTCTGTACCTAAGCAAATCAGGTACATCAGAGCAGCCCATAACTATCATTTGTTTGTTCCCCAGTGTCTGGCACCACATGACAGCAGGTGGGGTTTGGGTGCTGGGAACAGTGGGAAGGGGTCTGTTCCCAATAGCAGCTTGCACCTGTCTTCAAAAGAGCACTGCTGTCGGGCCATTGGCCCAGCATGCTTCTCTTACGCCGTCACCCTCGAGCTGATTCCAGACACCTACCGGAACCCAGCCACAGAAACCCAGCAAGGCCACCGAGCACACCAGTCTGCCCCTTTTCCCGTGAAATGGAAAAGCCGGCATCCCCAAAGAACTGGTCCTCAGGAATGTGCATGGCAGTGTGCTCTTGCACAAAAAGACGGCACCTTCATTCCTTGCAGATAACTTTGGATCTACGTCAGTAAACATCTTAATCACACTCCTCGTGTGGATTTCTTCATTTTACAGTCACGAGGGCTTCGCCCAGCGCCTGGCCTGAGACTGCCTGACTTCCACACCTCCCGCCGTGTTGTCGCGGAGCTGTCTCTCCGCCCCAGTGCCAGGTTTCCTCTGGCTGCACCTCCGAGCGGCCTCGGGCACAGGATGCAGGAAGCTGTGCTTTGTATATTTTGAATTCCTGGCTGTCCTCGTGTTCTTGGATGAACTAGTGTCCTTGTACACAGTGTTTCTACTCCATAATTGATCAGCGTTCTTGGCTGAGCAGAAGCCAGCCGACAGTTCCTGCAGTCGGGTGAGTAATAGGGCCTGGCTCGCCAGCTCCGGCTGCAGAGGCAATGCCAGCACCCAGGCAGCAGCGGCGCAGGACAGGACTTGTCCGTGCACCACCTCGTCCCAGCCTGGAGCCTCTAGTTACACATCTGCTGTTCACAGGAGCCCAGGTGGCCTGCACCCCCGAGCCGAGCCGAGTGGAGATAGCAGAGCTCGCCCCTCCCTGCTAGTGCAGGGCACCTCCGAGCCGGGCGCCACTCTGTTACCAGTGGCAGTGCCCACATTCCAAAGCAAACAACAGCCCATTGAACCAAGCGCTGCTTTTTTTCTTTTCGTAAAATCACGGCCACTGCTTTATCTTCCTGTAGATGCATCAAGCCCTAACTTTGTTTTTACATCTCAACTTTGCATTTGCCCCTGAGTCCAGGCAGGAATCTGTGGCCCCCTACAGTGTGGCTTTGTCTCCTGAAGGTGCCCTGGTCATTCCACTCACAGATTTCTCTCGAAGTTCCCAGTCATCAGGGCCTTGCTGTTGCTGAGCACTGTGTAGGGCACACCTGTAATCCCAGCTGCTTGGGAGGCTGAGGCAGGAGAAGCACAAGTTTGAGGCCAGCCTGGGCAACTTAGCAAGACCCTGTCTCAAAAAATAAAAAGGGCCAGGGGTACAGCTCTCTGGTAGAGCACCCCGGGTTCCATCTTTAGTACCAACAAAAAAGGAAGGCGAATGGGCGTGTGGCTCAGTGATAGAGCATGTGCTTAGCATGTACAAGGCTCTGGGTTCAATTCTCAGCACAAAACAAAAGGAAATCGCCGTCACCCAGTGAAACACAATACTTTGTTGGTCCTATCAAGATATCAGTTGTGGGGCCAGGG